GGGACTTGCTGGATGCCCTGCTCCTGTTTTATCCCAGCCTCCCAAGGTTGGTTACTTAGGAGTCTTGGGACACTTCTAGGCAGGGGAGCAGACAGACACCCACAGAACTGGTTCTGCCAATCTCCTTTTGTGCTCAGGAGGCTTCTCTCTTTTTCACCAGTCACTCTAAAGGACTTTGGAGGCATGCAGGCTCAGTTAAGAGTTGAGCAGGACAATTTTCATCCTCATCATTGTCAAATAGATAAGGTAAGTGTTTTCAGAGTGAAAATTGGGAGAAATAGTTTTCTGTCTCCTGCTAAGTGCTATCAAACTGCTTGTGCTACTGAAAATAATTTCTGTTGTTGCTACTGAAGCATTTATTGCAATGAGGGTTGAGTGGTGAAGGGTACTACTACTTTTGTAGTGTGCCCTGCTCAAGATGCAAAACCTGCGGTTAAAACAGGCTGTCTCTGAAGGTGTCCTGTCTGCATCCAGAAAGACCTTTACTCTGTTGGAAAGAAAAAGGGGAAATGGCAAAGAAGACACACAAGGAGCATTTCCTTTAATTACAGCCACTCAGATAAATAACTTAAGTGTGTATAGCATTAGCAAGTGCAAGCACCAGTAGATGCAGGATTAAAATCAGACAAGTTCAGGATTAATTGGAGCAGCCATCAGCCTTCTGGCTAGACTGCACAGCAAAGTGTTGCTATGTATGTGTTAATTTTCACTGTCTCCTTTGGTAAGTTTGCTGTCTCGTTACATGATCTTTTTTCTAAATGTGATTACAGCTGATAAGATGCTGGAAAGGATCATTTTATTGCCCTCCACTTTTTCACCCCCATTAAGCACAACGATTTAGCACGTGCTGAGGTCTATCAAATCACATTGACTTCAGTAAGAGCATTCACAAACCCAAATTAAGTATGAGCTTAAGTGCTCTGCCAAACCAGGATCAGGGTAGACAGTAGTTTGCAGGTAAAATCCTGCAGTGGAACTGAGAAAGATTCAGTATGTAAAAAGTTAAAAGCTCCAGAGCAGAAGGAATGAAATGTTCCTATGGAATAGTTAGAGTGGTATTGGGCTCTGTGCTCACCATTCAAACAGGGCACCTTCCTTAGACACAGGTCCATGGCAAATCTAAACACAGCTGCTTTCCAGCACATCTTTCCCAAAAAAAGACACATCAAATTGCCAGAATGAGGATGGGACTCTGCATCTCCACCTCAAGGATCAAAATCAACCTCCTTGCACCTCAAAGCAACAAAGCGCAAGAAAGAAGTGAGAGCCAGGATCACATCTCCTAGTGCACATGGCCATCTTCACGAAAATACTTAATTAGGGCTTGCAAATACAGCCAGTAAGAAAAACAACGAAAAAAAAAAAAAGACAAACAAAAACTTAAAATAATTGCCTGTAGCTGTAGATCAAAATTACTGCAGATATTTCCCCTTCCCTCTCCATCTTAGGGTAACCCCTAACTAACTTCACCCCTCATGTAGGTGCACCAGGTCTTGGGACTCTCTTAGTCCCATCCCGGTCCAGAGGGTTCTTGCTGCAATGCCCTCTCATCACCCAGCAATAGCAAACAGCCCTCTTCCCTCTACTTAGGCTAGTGTTTGCAGGAAGGGATCCTCGGGGACTCACCGTGCTCTGTGCACAGGGCTGCAACCAGCGCTGCAAGAAGAAGAACCTTCATCCTTCATAGGTCTTTGCAGATGCAAATCAGACAGGACTCACCCTTGGCTGTTTTTATACTTCTGCAATGTTTGCTTTGATGATACGATAATAACCGGAGTGTTACTGTGTCAGATGCTGGATGATTAAGTTGAGCATGTTGCCACCTATATGGGGAAGTATGCCTGGGCTGTAAATCCGAACAGGCGTATATTTTTCACAAATTCTTTTTTTTTTTCTTGATGTTTCACAACACAGCTTGTTCATGTGGTATGTGCATGCAACAGCTCCTAATTCTGGAAAAGTGGAAGAGATACAAAATGCTGCATCCACATGAGAAGAGTCTTCCCTTCCCAGACCAGTTTAAGTTTCAGGTCAGGCTGTGTCTTGAGAATTTTGTCCTTGCACAATGTTTTGATGCATATGGAAATAGCTCGAATTTAAATTTGAAACTGTGATTGAAACTTACTCCAAAACATCTCCCAGGGTTGTGAATGCAGCTAGATCAGGACAGCAATCTCTCCTTCCACTGCATTTCATCGAGGAGCAGCTATAATTTTTTTTTAGGTCTTTTCTGAAACTACAGCTCAAAATCCTAAATCATTCTCTTCAAAAATGATATTTTATAGGAGGGAAAATGTTATCTTATTGGAAAATAAATTCCACTGGGCAATGAAAATGACCACTTAAACTAAAAAAGAAAGAGAAAACTCATTCCCAGCACATTGAACAAGGTATGATTACTTTTTTTTCCTTTTTTTTTTTCAAAAATAGAAGGTCTTTAAAAAATAAATGTCAGGGAGGAAAAAAAAAGGCAGTTAAAGCATAGAGAATGAGGGAGTGCTCAACCAAGGCAGTCAACTTACCAGCTTTTCAGAAAAAAAGAAAATATATGTGTGTATATATATATACATGTATATGTACAGGAAGCAAAAATTATATGAAATACCAGAAAGGAGTAGTCAGCTGGATTTCCTTACGGTGCTCTTTTGTTCTTTTTTCTTTTAATATCACATTTCTTCCTCTCTCCTGTATACAATCAGAACTGTTCTCATCTTCTTTTACTCATTCTTGCTTGTTCCTCCCTCTTTCTGCCATCGCATCGCAGGAAGAGAGGTGCAGTTCCAGGAATGACCCCACAGGATCTCTTTCCCATGGCACTCCAGACTGTCAGAGCAACCTGCATGCCTCAGGTCTTTGCCAGCAGCTCTGCCCCATGTTGCTCTCCATCTGGCTTATTTCTCCCTCTCAATCCCGTGCTCTAATTAAATATTTGGGATTCTAGCCATTATCCACCTATGGTCATTATCTCATTTAGAAGTCATGCCTAGGACTTTGGGTGGTGTAACTCTTTCCATCACCCTTAAATTGGACATATAAATATTGCCAATATAGAGACTTGTGTGACTAAGGTACGCAAATCTCTGCTTTCTCAACATGGGAGCATGAAATTCAGATGGAGCAGAGATAGCAATTAAGCAAGGAAGCTCAAAGGAGGGACAGTTTAGCCATTATGCCTCTGTATGATGAAAGCAGAACCTGTCACCCTCCATGCCAAAAAAAATGCAAACCTTTCTTCCTCATCAAATATTTCATTTCCTCCAGTGTAGATTTTGTGGGTCCTTGTTATAAATCAACTTTTTATTGCTGACTACTCGAGGTAATAGCAGAAAAGGGGGATCCAGTCACAAGGCAGTACCATTCTGCAGCCCATACATTGCTCTGCAGAGGCAGCCCACATTCAGATTTATTTCAGCCAACGGCATCCATTATCAGGTACAGAAATAGCAACTCAGTCAGGCACTTTTTTTTTCTTTTACTTACCTTTTTTGCGGCCTCATCCAAGTGGAAACTAAAATGTCTTTTGTCTCTCACAAACTGCTGAGATTTTGAGATTGCAGTGCTGTAGTTCTAAAGGAGTTATTGGAGGTTTTCAAACCATTGGGATTTTCTATTAGATGGTCCTTCACCATCCCAACTTGTCCCATGTGCCTCCCTAATGTTAATGTGATCTTTGCTTCTCATCCCTGTCAGGTGAGATGAATTGAAAAGAGTACAGGGTGGGCAGAAAGGACTAGAGGGACCGAGGCCAAGGAAAATATAATATCGCAGTTTACAAGTACTGGGCAGTTATGAACTTCAAGGAGAAGATTAAGGAAGGAGGAACAAGATGTTTAACTTTGCAGGAGAGGGGGAAATGGAAAGACTTATTTCCCTGGATGCATTTGCTTAGTGGAGAAGGACAAAGAGTGTTTTCCTCCTGTTTTTCTAAACCTGGTAGAAAATGCCACATGGAAAAGCTGAACAGTTTTTTTTTTTATTTTGATGAGAACATGTATTTTTTCATGAAATAAAAGCTGAAAAAATATCTGTGTTGCTTAATTCAAGTATTGCTTTTACTAGGACAGATTTATCAGCTGGCCAAAAACTCTGAAAAGCACTTCAGAAATGACAGTGATCAATATGTAGGAAAAGTGGTGGGAAAACTGGATAACATGAAGTACAAAAGGCCAAGTTTCTTTTGGACTCATCATAGCAGAAATGGCATCACATTCTTCAGCCAGCTTATGTATGTTTTCAGTAAATGCCAGGCTACCTTCCTTGCCTGGGAATTAGATCTTTGCAGGTTATTTAAACATAATCCTATCTACACAGCCTTCATCCAGGGCTGTGGTTTTACTCCCAGCAAACTTCTTCCACTGCTGCAAGTATCAAATTGTACTGGGAACAGCACAAACCTCTTGACCTTTCCAGATTGATACCTTCTTTCATTAGCCCCAAGTGATCAGGCTTAACATCTGGCTTTAAAAAGTATCTGTCTTGAGCTGCTGGATGCAACTGGGTCAATGGAAAAATGCAGCTAGGGGAAGACTCTGAGATGCTAATAAGAAGAGAATTTTAATTATGAAGTAGGGACTCAAGCTGCAGCCCTTTCAGGCAGGGCTGTTCTTCCCAGTGTAAGCTTAGTGGGATGGAACAAACGCACACTAGAATAACATAAATCTTTATTTTATCTGACTGTTGTCACGCACATGCTATCAAAAGAGCTTTCCCCAGGAAAAATTAATACAAAACAACGAATGCTACAGGGGAAGAAAAATAGAAGCCGTGCTGCTGTGCTGTTCTGTGGATGGGATCTGAAACAATTGCTTGGAAAAAAAATAGGGTAGCACTAACCCAAATGGAAATATTTGACACAGAAGAGGTTGGTTTCTCAACTGGGGAAGACCACTGAGGTTCTCAGGATATCAAGTCCTCTCCCCCCACCCTACCCTGATCACAAGCCTGCCCTGATGGCACAGATGAAACTGGCCACTGTTGCCAAGAGCATCACGACGTAGCTGATCTTCACACTGTTGGCTCCACTGAAGTTGCACAGAGAGGTACCACAGCACTTGGTGGAGATGGCCGCCACTCCGAAGTTCAGGTTTGTCTCAGGGCATTCTGCTGAGCATTTCTTGGTGATGCGATATCCTGCATCCTTACCTGCATGGAGAAAGGGTGAGAAAGGAGAGCTACAATTTAAGATTCCCCTGCAAGTCAGGACCACAGGGCAACAGGCATATGTATATTTGACAACACTTAATTTGCAATCAGTGAAGCATTGACAGGGATCAACAGATCTGACGAGATCCAGGTAAATGTACACATGATGTGGATCAAATGTGGGCCGCCAGAAAGTCCTAGCTGAAGGAATTGCAAGTAACCTGCACTAAGTAGGACAGCAAGATTTCACATTTCATTGTTGATGCATCCTTGGTTTCCAGAATCGCACTCATATGGCCTTGAAGATCCTTTCTTTCTTGTGTCACAGATTGTGCGCTCTGAGACTAAGCAACAGTATCTCGCTCGTGGAAATCCGTCTACTGCAGCAAGTCATGTGACGAGGTGGTAAGAAAGGTTCCCTCACATGGCAGACCACCACGGAGGTACAAGCAGCTCCATGTGTGGCAATCCTTAGCCCTGAGAGACCATTAATCCTCTCCAAAGACCCCAGTTAGTACTCCTAAAAAAACTATGGCCTATGAAAGTGAAAAAGAAAGATGTAACACTGCTACTTACCTAATCCAGCAGAGCTGTATGTTGTTATACAGAATTTATCCTGCTCATCACACTTGTATGTTTTAAGACAATTCCAGTTGGAATGCTCATTTTCACATATATAGCAAAAAAGTGAAGAACCTGGAAAGAACGCATATGACACATGTTATTCGCTTCCAGTAATGCTCTCCCACGAAGAAAGTGTCAAATACTATGTCCCGTTTTGGATAATACAAGTGAAAAATATTTTAAAATACATTTTCATAAAAAGTCAAATAAAAGACTGTTTCTTGAATATGAGGCTGAGAAGGCAAACAAAAAAGCAAACAGAACAAAACAGATAATTTTTTCTCTACCTGAGATTTTGGGTGATTAAATACCAAAACACATTTTTTCAGCCTGGGTAGCCCTCTCAGGCAACCTTTCCTATATACCGAGCTCCATCTCTGTCTGGACCACACTGGCCCTGCTGACACTGATTCTGCAAAAGCAGAGCCTGCTACCTGCCTGGCCAGGTCTAGTATTGCTTTGGAAAGGAGAAGATTAACTCTCCTCTTGTGAGAGCTTAGATTTTTAGTATTTTCATGTCAGAGTGGATCTGCAAAGACTGCACAGACATGAATTAATTAAATCCTATTTACCCCACTGAGGTAAATTACTGAGTATAGAGTCACATAAAAGGGAGTTCCTTGGGAAAAGTTGCTCTGGACAATAGGAAGATTATTTCTACCAGTGCCTGGAAAAAAAAAAAAAACACAATTCCAGAACCAGTTTTAAAAGAAAATTAAAAAGTTATCTTAGACTACCCTGAAAGATAACCTGGTAGCAGAGGAGGCTGCTTCTCTTCTCTGTGTGGTGCTTAGGTGACCAGAGCATGGGTCTGGAGCCTGCTCTGTATGCCAGCACCTTGCTGTGCAAGAGACCGTCTTGCTCTGGAGCCTGCTCACATGCTTTTTTGCTCATATCAGGCATTATAAGTGCAGATGTTTTTCATAATAGCAGATAGTCATTCTTGATGTTTCCTATTTTAACTTCCCTTTAATTACTATTAGCCCTTACTGCTCCTCCAGCAACTATGTGATCTATGCCTTTCACCTCTCTCTGGAGGTCTCCGAGCTGTGGGCAGCTGCCCTTTGACACAATATGCCAGAGCAATCCCAGTGCACTGCTTCACTGCCTGTTACAGCCCCAGTAGCCCTCATGGATCTGTTTTTACACCAAATCTGACAAAACTTCCTGCTACAGCTAGGGCCAAGACCCCCAGCACATGCACAAAAGCAACTGAAATTCTCTGAAGTGTTCTCTGCTGATGATTGATGCAAAGAAAAATCCTCCTAATCAGGAAGCAATACAGCTCAAACCATTACTGCTGTTGCAAAGCCCTTGCCTGCATCTGGCCCCCACCCTACATGAGCTCTAATTTTGCAATTGCAGCCAGAAATAGCCCTACTGGCACAAACAGTCTTGCAACACTCTTTAGGATTGCAAACATTCACGCAAAACTATTGATGGATTCTAGGTGGAGCAGAAACTCAGCCTGCTGTAGTAAAGTCATGCCTAGATTACCAGCTTCAGGATTTAAAGATAACACGCTTAGTGGCTATCCCCTTGGGGTGCTCACCACTTGGAAAGCGACTTGTGCTGCTTCTTTGCCAGACTTTCTGGAAAAATTTCTATAGCATTAAGTTTTTCATTTAGGTTTTTGGCTTTGAGAAAAACTGAATTTCTTTTTTAGATTTACATTTTTAATTTCTCAGTATAGACTCACTCTTCAGATGGATTGTGCATGCACACCGATTTTCTTTCAGTCTTTTTTAAAAATCCCCACATATTTGAAAGTTTTGTTATTATCATTATTTTCAAGAAAAAAAAAAGAGTTGCTCTGAGAAGCACTGCCTGCCCTTGAGCAGAGCTTTCAGGACTGCAGAAGGAATAAGAGAACCCTTTGAGAAATATCTAAATGGACTCCTCAACACCAGCCGTGTCCTATAAGGCATCCCTCCCTCCCATCTCTTTCCCTTTTTTTTTCCGGTTCCATGATACCTGTCATGGTTGGCTGGAGGAGAACGTGGCTTTATTCATCAGATTTTTGGTGACTATCCAAAATTCATCAGTCAGAAGATATCACTGTGACCAACCCAGTCACTTCCACCACAAAACGGTGCATGGTAATGACTGTCCAGCTCAGTCTTTTGAAAGCTCCTGGATCCCAGATTGCTGCAGATCCACTTGCTGCAATGACTAGCTACCTGGGCTTGTGACTAAAGTGAACTTCTCCAGTTCAGCTCAGGGCTTCTTCTCTGTCTCATGGCTTCCGTGAGGAAGATACCCTTAGTTTCTCCTTCTCGACAGGGTATTTTCATAAAATCATAGAATCATTATGGTGGGAAGAGATCTTTAAGATCACCAAGTCCAACCATAAATGCATCACCACCATGCCTGCTAAACCATGTCCCCTGAAGGGCCTCATCTACATGTTTCTTCAACATTGCCAGGGATGGTGACTCCACCACTTCCCTGGGCAGCCTTTTACAATGCTTGAGCACTCTTTTCATGTAGATATTTTTCCTAAAATCTAATCTGAACCTCCCCTGGCACAACGTGAGGACATTTCCACTTGTCTTATCAGCAGTTTATCTAGTTGTATCTGCTCCTCCTTTTGGGAAAGTCTGAGCGGGATGCACTGCTCGGGCATGCTTGCATGCCTGCCTCCTGCTCTCCAGCACTTCTGACCCCACGCATGGCTGGTTTCAAAAGTGAGCAATATGTAATAGCAAGGATCAAGTCATCATCAGGCACATAAATCATACAACATGTCTCATAGTGCTCTGCAGTAAAACAGCTAGGGAAAAATCTATGTCCTTCCCTACTACAGAGCTGCATTGCCTGCCCTCATCTCCAGACTCCCTTAGTATTTTCCAGTAGTTTGTGTTGATTGCTTCTGTATTAAAAATACTTTTTTTTTTTCCTGTCCTAGCACAGCTGCTGGTCTACCAATGTTAGGATGCCATGCAGATTATTCTGCACTTTCTTCCAACTTCTTTATGAGAGTTCTCAAGGGATTGTGGCCAGGCACAACACATTACGAACACACTCATTCCAAAACATTTAAAAAAACTCTTCAGAACTATGAGCAAAGGTCTTTTAGTCTGTCAAATATCTGCCAGCAAGTTAATTTCCTAATTGTAATGCTGTTGTGGGATATGGAGCGAAACACTTAGAGAAGATGAGGTCTCAACACTAGTCCTATTATTTTTATCCACTGTAACAGCAGTTTCATTCAGGAAAAGAAGGAAAATGAAAGACAAAAAAATGTCTGACTCTTAGCATTTCTCAGTTCAAATGTGAGTGTTTAAAGCTCGGTATTCCAGAGTGCCAAAGAAAGCAGAACAGTGAGCTCATCTTCTCCGGGCTATGAGCTCCTCTTATACTTATCTAGAAGCTAAGGTTCAGCAACATTTAAAAATGTTTGAAGCAAGTGATGCCAAAGGAAAATTGCATAGGAGGACCGCAGCAAAAGCTGTCAAATGACATTGTGTTCTGGCTAACTCTTCTCCTGGTTTTCATCCCCTTGGTCTAGGCTCCCTCAGCCTGCTGGGCTCCTTACCTTGCTCAACACACAGGACCGCGGTCAGCAGCGCAATCAGAAAAGCCCTCATGGTTGTTGTGCCCTCAGAGCCTGCACAGTGTGGGATGTTGCACCATGGTTAGGTTTTATACTGGGACTACATTCGCATTGGCTTCTTTTGATTATGACAAAATTAAGGTTTGGGGAGTGACGGGATATAACACAGGATTGGTTGCTGGGTGTTGCTGCGTAGGAACTAACCTATTAAGAGGCTTCAGGTAGCAATTTTTTTCTGCCTCCCATTTAGAGCCATTTGTTTTTCCAAGACCTACTCCCACTGTCTGCCTCTTCATTGCTAATGTGGGCAAGAATCTGTGTGACTCAGACAAGGGAGTCCCCTCAAAATCCATAGGGCTGGACTGTGAAACTTGGAGCAAAGCAAAGGAAGGTGTGCCAAAACAGGGTGGCTCCAAGACTGTAAGATACTAGGAATCACCAAGCATTCCCTCCCCTTTCTCTCTGTCATAATATAATAGCTTTATAGCTGTGAAAGATGAAGTGCGAATGGCAAAGAAGACAAAAGATAAGATTTTTGATGGTTTGTCCAAAATCATCCTGATTTTCCTTGCTTGTACCAAGAAAAACACTTTAGACAGGAAAGCAGCTTGGACTACTCCTGCAAAGAGCTTTTTTTGTACCTGGGCTCTCAGAGGCTCTCATGGGCTAGATAAGGATGGGGTCCAATGCTTTTGTTTACTTCTCTGTCATCCAGAAGCACCTGGAGTTTTCAAGCAACATTTATTGCTATCTGTGGCCTGGCTTTAAACTCTGACAGGTTTTTCTGGTCTCTGATGATCTTTCCAGCCCTTCTGGGCTCCCTCCTTCTGCTCCCAGAACTACTTCTTCCCCTCCTGACAAATCACCCAGGATGCAGCAGAGATAGAAAATGCATGAAAAATAAATAAATAAATAAAAGGCTACAGGAGTTAAACAGGGAACAAACAAAAAGTTTGTGTCCATTCACAGAGCACCTAAAGGGGATGAGCATCCGGAGTTCAAAGTCTTCCTCTCTGCTCTCTAAATCTGTCCTGACCTTAAGCATGAATCTTCAGTCACCTTATCTACTACCAAGGATATAGGAGATCCACCTGGCAGCTAATACAGCAGTTACACTTAGGAAATAATCTGCGAAAAAGCCATATCCAAACAAAGCATTATTTAAATATATGAATGGACAATATCAGGAAGAAAATAGGATTGCCAGAGCACGGAGGGACAGAGTTGTGCAAGCCCACATGTTTATTTTACATATAATGTCCAGCCTCCAGTCAGCTATGTGAGGTGAGGGAGAGGGGTCAGGAAAACAAAACTTATTTCCCAGCCGTCCACACCAAGAATGCAGAAACGAAACTGAATTATTGCTGGATTCAGCTTATCTGGGAAGCAATAGAGCTGAAAAATGTAGCTCTTCGATAGGGAGAAAAGAAAAATGCTCAAACACAGCCCAAAACAAGAAAAAATAAAGGATTTGAAACTAAAACAAAGAAATGAACAGTAAATAAATGACACTGCTAAAGCGAAGCACTGCCGAATAGAAAATGTGCAAGTGAGAAATGGGCAGTAGGAAGTAGAAATGTGAGAAAGCATTTAAATAAATTAGAGTGAGGGAAGGTTAATAATAATAAACAATATTAATATTTCACCCAGAAGTGGAAAGGGAGGACATAGTTGAGAAATAATGGGACAAAACAAAGTAAATCAAAACAAACAGCCAAAGCCTGAGGCGGGGGAAATATATGAAGAATTAAGAAGGGAGGGGAGAAAAGGATGGGTGCTTCACCATTTCCACTATGATGGCATCACTTATTACTGTGCAAATTGCAGTATGTTGCGAGGTGTGGACAATTGTTCAGAATCTTGCCACAGACCATCGAGGTTTGGGAAGCGTTTGCTGAACAACAATTCTGCAAATCCCAGTTTAACCAGCCACTTCAGTCAGATTCCAAGGTCTTTGGTGGGACCCAAACAAGGAAAGCAGCAGGGCATCACCTGGCACCTAACCCTATACTGGTGAAGGATAAGTTTGCAGAGGCTTTGGGACACAAGCCAGGGTCTGGCCAGGACCCCAAAAGATGCTGTTCTTGTGCCCTGTTGCTATTGTAGTCATGTCTGAGGTCACCAACAGAGCTCAAGGCTCCAACCAGGACCGTCGTGGTAGGCAGAGGGATGGGCATCTCTTGAAGCAAGGAGTGGTTTTTCAGGCAAGAGAAGGGGTCTGTAAGAAAAGGGACGGTGAAGGCAACTGTCAGAGATGGGGAAGGAGGTGGTGTCAGGAGACTTAGAGCACAGAGGTGTCAGAACTCCTTTTTCAGGGACAGGAAAAGAGAAAGGGGACCTCAGAAGGGCTAAGTTGCTGCAGAAGTGGGGCTGGGTGGGTGTCCAGCAGACCTTGATGCAGAGCAAGTTAAGTAGTTGACAGCGGTATGGAGCTTTAAGGAAGAAACCTTAACCCACTTTGAGCTTGGCAGCCATCAGCATGTGTTTGTGCCAGACCTTGGGAGCACATTGTGCAAGGCCTGTCCCTTTTGTGTAATGAGCCAGACACAGTGTGTTTTCAAGCTGAGAAGGGGCGTTTACATGAAACAGACTGCTGGGCCAAGATACTTTTTAGTATTAACCCCCAAAATCCCTTTTTCTCTTTTTTTTTTTTAATCTCCTTGGAGTGCAGTTCCAATCATGCTCTCAAGCAACTTTTCTTCACTGTTCTGGAAGAAAGCTCTCTGTTTTAGTGAAGGATTGCAAAGGGCAGCCAGGGAAAGGGAAGGGCATAGGAGAAGGTGGGAAGCAATCAACATGGGACATGCTTTTGGTACTCCTGAGTCAGGAGGGCAGGCAGTCCATCCCAGCCCCGGGGTTGCACTGGTCTGGTCTGCTCCTGTACTCTCCTCCCTCCTTGACAGGCCAGGTAGGGCCAAGTTGCTTCATCTGGCCATGCAAAGGTGGGGTTAGGTGAACGATGGGAGGGGGGAAGATTGCAGGAGGCAATACCTCCTTCTACCCAAGGGAAAAAGAATGACCTGCCTGTGCTGTTTTGGCTTTGGCTCAGGACAAGCTCCAAGCTGTGGAATAGAGCTCATTGCGTTGACTTGCTGACAGAGAACAACAGGTCCCAAACCTCTGGCTAGGTAGGACAAGCGTAGCCCAGGTGCATTTGACATGATAGACACCAGGAGCCTTGCCACCAGGATTCTCAATGTGTGAAGATACTGGCTGGTTTTGGGGGGTACAAAACCATTTTATCACATTTTCTTATCCTCCTATGTCCTAAGAGATAGTTCGGTCCCATCATCTTATAGGCTCCTGGGGAGACATCAAACAGTACCATCATGCATGGGATCAAGCATCTTGATTCATATCCTCACTGATGTCCTAGCTTTCCATACTAGCTCACCAAACAGGGCACAAGGCAGTCCCAACACCATCCTTGCTGTTGGACCTCCAGCACAGCTTTGGAGAACCTCACCTAGCATTGTCCCAGACAAGGGACTACTCCTTGCAAGCAGTTTGGATGTGACCACCATGTTTGTAGAGAAGAGATTAGAGTTGTGGGTGTGAATCACTGTTCATGGCTCCAGGGTCAAGATTTATTAATCTAGCGGTGGTATTCCTGCATCTGGAAGAGACGTCTTACAGGTCTGTGGGTCTGAAATGAGAGGACAGTGAAAAAGGAGATTGGGAGGAAGAAGAAAAGGCAGTCAAGAAAATCCATGTGCCCTTTTGGGATCTTTTAGAAGAGATAGTTCTCCCCATGGAGGATTCCACTGCTACAACTGCACGTGGGGAAAAATGACCCTCACTTGTTTATTTAAGGTGCATTTCTGAATCAACTCAGCCTGTAACATCAAACTCTGCCCTTCTCACTGAAACTTGGAATTTCCACTCACTCCAGGCTCAGGCGTGCTGATTCTCTTTCATGTGAGCAGTAAAGTACATGCACTGAAACGGGGCCACCTCCTTTACTGCATGTTCATGCTGGTCCTAACAAGCGGGGCTCTGGAAATGTTAGATTGCAGTAGATTTCTGAACCATGCCAACAGGAATGCTTATGAAAAGCAGTTCTAAAGCTTTGCCAGAGAGGACTTTGGCCAGCATCTCCAGGAAGAAAACTAGGCAATATCTATTATTTTCACAAATGTCTTTCTGATCTCTGTAGGTTTTCTTTTTTTTTAATTAAAGTTCAAGATCCTGGAGTTGTGTAGTGAAATGAGGAGTAGTAAGACAAACTCCTGTACCACACCAGCTGTGGTACAGGCTGGCAGTGAGAAAGCCTCTGCAGACATCTACGTGGACACCGAGAAAACCTTAGTGAACATTTTCATTTTGATTTTTTTAAGAAATAAAATGCCCTATACCTCCTTATTACAAAAGCTACCCACATGACCTGCCTCTCCACCCCCAACCTCCCCTCAGATATCAAGGAAACATTCATGTTTCCCAGAATCTCTCAGTTAAAAACAAGCAAACAAACAAACACAGAAAAAAAAATTGCTTTGGAGACTTGACTAATCTAATGCTTTCAATGCTAGCTATTGCAACCTTGGGAATGATCTGCTGAAACTTGATAGTGAAATTTCCAGGGTTAGATTCAGCAACAATTCAGCTGCAACAAAGAACATAGTTTCACTCTGAAAGCTGTGATGGGCTCCGCAGCCAACCTCTTGTCTATGCATTCTGGGGGAGGACCAGGTCTGATTTATTACAGGGAGGCTTAAACCAAGTAGAAAACTTGACACCAGCGTGGGAAGACAAGGGTGCACTGTTTTCTTTCCAGGGTCGCTCCTGCTGACCCAACTAGGCAAAGTGTCAAGCCAGCTAGCAGCATGGCTAGAACAAGTGGTTGGGCCAGCCTTCGTTGTTACGTCTAGAAACTTGTCACACCTTAGGTAATAGCAGAGCTGAAACCTCCATGATGGCACCTGACAAGGAGGGCAAGGATCTCTGTCCTTCAAGAGGACTCAGCAGTGAGTCTGTGGCAGCTGGAGAAGCTGAGTGTGAAAGAGATGGGTGCTGGAAGCATCCCAGCCCAAAGGG